TATTATAATAATAAGTGTAATCATTTTTGACGGAAAACATACCATTTTAATATATTTTTAAAAATATTTTAATTTATTTTTTGTATTCAGTAAATGTTATTTTAATTAATAAGTAATAATAACGCGGGATATTTTGTCAAGGATATTTTTACGCGGGATATTTTTTCATGGAATATTTTGTCGGGGATATTTTGGTTTAGGGATATTTTGTCGGGGATATTTTGACCGGGATATTTTTACCGGGATATTTTGACGTGTCACCGTTGAGGTTATGTGATGAACACGATATTAAGTTCATCTGTTTACCTCCTAATACAACACACATAACCCAACCACTGGATATAGCTTTTTTCCGGCCAATGAAGGGGGCATGGAGGGAACTGTTGAGAGAGTGGAAAAAGACAAAAAATGGTTCTTGCTACTCAACTTTACCAAAAGACGTGTTTCCCAGGCTTCTCAACAATTTGATGGAAAAAATTGATTTGAATAAAACACAGAACTTAAAATCAGGATTTGCGAAATCTGGGATCTACCCATTAAATAGACAAAAACTCCTTGATCGATTGGCCGAAAATAAAAATAATACATTAGATAAAGATTTGGTTGGACAGGCATTTTTAGATCGTCTTCAGAAAGAACGACAAGACTTCATAGGCGGACCTGGCAAACCGCGAAAAAAAAAACTGCAAGTTTTACCTGGGGACAGTATTTCGTATGAAGACCTTTACCCGGCACGTGATAATCCTGGACCGGTGCCAAAAAAGAAGAAACGTAATGTTGTGTCCTCTTCCTCCAGTGACGAGTCTGATATTATGCCTATTATTGATGAGTCAGATAGTGGCAGTGAAGTGTACGGATCTGACGATAGCGAGTATGTAGATAACCCTCATGCCGACGAAGCTCATGCCGACGAAGCTCAAACTGACGAAGCTCAAGCCAGCGAACCTGATCAAGCTTCTTACATCGTTGGTGATTTTGTTATAGTCATGTTTGATGGCAACAAGTTTCCTGGTCGGATTACTGCGATAAGTGAAAAAGGCGCAAAAGTGGATTGCATGGAAAAGAGGTCAAAAAGTTGGAGGTGGCCGACAAAACAAGACTGCATCGAATACGAGTGGAGCGACGTAATTGGCAAAATCGAACCACCCATATTATGTAAACGTAATTTTTTCCGTGTTCCAGTTCTTGATGAGTTTGTGAAATCATAAATTTTTAACTTGTACAACTATTTTAGGAAATCATACATTTTTAACTTGTACAACTATTTTACTTAAGCAGAAAAGATTTTTTTTAATAATAATTCAAATAATAATGTAAGTATAGATTTCTGATGAAATAAACAGTTTCTTTTTTCTAAAAGTTGTTTTTATTATGCTATTTTAGCTCATTTTACCATCAAAATACACGTAATTACTTATCAGGTAGTAGCTAATTAACCTAGCATAGGCTAACTTTGGCCCAATGCAGATATAAGGTGAAAACTATAGGGATTTTAGAGGTGGGTTAAAGTTACCCTGTTGCCGGGTAACTTTTGCCCATTTTTTCAAAAAATATATTTTATAGTTAAAAAATTTAAAAATTAAAAATTTGATTTGGCAGAAGGGATGTCTGCACCTACACCTTTACTTGAAAATTGTTATTTTTTAATTTTTTTACTCGCAACCTAGTTAAATTTTGCCCTTAAGTTGAAAAAAGCGCTAAAATGGCGCAAAGTTACCCCGGTTTACGGTACTTAAAATGATCTAAATTTACGTTACTACCTTCCTCCTCATCGTCGGAGGCCTCTCGAGGTCGTGTATTCGAGAATTTGATCAAATACACTATGATATAAATGTAAATGCATGCACATAATATAATTTAATATAATGCAGTCAACAATACTATATTTTATATTTTAATATGTCTTACCTGACTCGCAGCAATCTCTGGATTATGCAATAGGAATCTTAGGTGACACAAACTAATTATTTAAATTACTCAAATAAAAATAAATTTAGAAACACACTGATTATTATAAAAGGAGTCCAGTTGTCGCTCGTAGAATTCGGTCTAGAGGTTGTCAATCTATTTTCGTGGTGCGCCTGCACTCGTGAGAGGTTGTTGGATTGTGTGAGAGGTGCTCATGCACTGATGAGAGGTGATTCGCAGGCGGTCCCATCAAAGGCCTCCGTGTTTCTTAAGATTTACCGTTATCCTTAGTGATAGCTACCCTGATTGGACCATCCCTTGTATCCAGCTTCATAAGAAACAGATCACACAAGTGGCGACAGATGGTCTCAACTATAAGTGAGTTTCTACTTGACCAAATATTGCGAATCGTTCCTTTCATCAGTGATTAATAATATTTTTTGGATTTTTAGCGACTTTCTAATTGCGACAACTCGACCGTTATTCATTTTATTGAATAAGTAAATAATATATACAATTATCATATGTGAGCATATCATTACATCCACCCTACGCTTTTTTGTGTTGTGCCCTCACAACACCACTCACAGGTGAGTGTCAGCGCAATACATCAATTGATATGTTAGACAGAGAGAAAAAAGAGAAGAAAAAAAAATGCTAAGTTTGAAAGTTGAAAGTTTGAATATAATGTAAGTGGGTAACGTCTTTGTTTATACAAAATTTAAGGGTTGATGATAATATACTTTGAGCTTAAAAATATAATGGGAATGGTGTAGGCGTAGGACTAAAGCTTGAGTTCCCATTTCACCATTGCTCTATTTGTATTAGTGTTACTGTTTTATTTTTAAATTTAAATTTCCTAACTTGTGGATTGTAATGATTGCTATACAATTGTTTCTTAAGGTATAACATTGTTGCATATATAATGACATATTGTGATTTTTGCTTAGTTTCTAATTTTATGTGATATTAACTTATTATTTAGAGCTAGTAATATTTGTCTTAAAGTTAATAATTAATTATAGAGTAGTCCTATCCCTCTCTTTTTTTTTTATTTATCTTAATAACATAGGAACTTTTAATTTACCTCTGGTTGATTTTACATCTAATGAGGTTAGCCTAATTTGAGCTTTTTGCTTTGTTTTTATTAATGTATTTGTTTATTTTAGTATTGATATTTTTTTTTCTAGTAAAACTTATGCTAGCTTAATTATGTTTACAGTTTTTTTTACAAGTAATTATTTCTTATCGCTCTAACTTAAATTAAGTTATTTTTACAGTTTTTTTTTTTATATAAATTGTTTTTTTTTTTTTACGAGGACCAATGAAATCGTCTCTTTTATATATATTTTTTTTTATACTGAGAGTCTTCTGTGGTATGGAATTAGTGGTGCTTTGGTTTTCTTATTTTTTGTTTCTGTTTCTATTATTGTATATTCTGAATTTTTAGGATTATAATGTTTTTTGTGTTTATTATGCATAAAGGTCCCCACACACTGCAGCGGTGGCGGTAAAATTCTTTTGTCTTGGCGGTGCCGCCGCGGTGGCGGTAAATTGTGTCCGGACTCATTTAACCGCTACCGCCACCGCGGCAGTGTGTGGAGACCTTTAAGTGGTGAGTTACGTTTGAAAATAACCCACCGGTCAGTTTGATGCTCCATCCAATTGTGTTGTACAATAATGTTAGATTTAACCCTGTGTTTATACAAGTTATGACCAATTTAAAAATAATGACTAAGCCTAACAAGCCTGACGTTATGTTACCGAAACTCGTGAAACAGCCCCATATGTTATGTATTTCCCAGTGGCGTAGTTACGGGGGGGGGGGGGGTTAAGGGGTTTGCACCCCCCCCCCATCCAAAACAAAATGTTTATATTGGTTATAATTTTAAATAATAGTTATACTAAATAATACTAGTACAAATTAACGTGTATATTATTATGACTATTTATAATAATATCCCTGGTTGTAGAAATTATCCGAGTGTTTACACTTCTATTTTAAGAAAGCCCAATAAAATAAAATCGACGAAAACAGCGATAACGGCCTCCGACGTTCAGCACACTGACGCCGGTCGATAATATTACTATCTGTCGACCGACATAATATTTCATTTGATTGTTAGAGTTTGAAACATTAGTACGCGTATCAACTATGGATAAATTTGTTATAAAGGTAAGCATATTAAACAATATTGCATTATTTTTATACAATATTAATACATTAATATAATTAATTACTTATTTACGCATAGCTTAAACTTTGCAAACATTATTTTATTTATTCTAAAAAAATTATAATTCAATTGTTGCGTATTTAACAGTTTTAGTATTTATTATTTATTTTTATTGATGTTACTGTCAAGTATTTAATGTTTATTTTATAGTACATAATACTAGCTTCTATTAAAGTATATTTTTATATTTTAAAATTTTATAATATTCCTTAACGAATACAAACAATTGATCAAAATATTAATTTTGTATTTTAGAAATCGAAACCTAAAGATTCTACCATAGAAAATTCTTTAGCACCTAAAAATGATCTAAATATTAAGACTCCTGAAACCTGTATACCTTCTTCATCTTTTACTTCAGTTGATATAAGAATTAATGACATAATATATTTTGTTAACCGTGTGTTATCTCATAGTGAAATTCATACAGTTATAAATAATATATGGACGCCAGATATAACGTTTAATTTTCCCATACATAAAATCGGTTCATGATTTTATCGAACTTTTAGAATGTGTCATTGATTCCTTAGACACAATTAGTAGTTGGGCCGATGGTGATACCTCAAGTCAAGCAAATAATTTAAAAAATTCAATTTTACAAGGAGAGTTTATCATATCACTTTTGGTTTTATCTAAAATATTTGCTATTGGATTGCCACTGTCTAAACAATTCCAAAGCGTTGCTATTGATTTAAGAGAAGCTATGGTTTTAGCTAATGCGACACTGTCTGAATTAAAAACAATTCGAAGTAACGTTGATGAATATTTTCATGATATCTACACAAAAGCATCTGCTCTAGCTGAGGAGTTGTGTTTTTCAATAACATTACCTCGAATTGCACGTAAACAAAAAAACAGAGATAACTATTCAGTGAATACACCTGAAGAATATTTTAAAATAACAATATTCATACCCTATTTAGACTTGTTTATTAACGAAATTGAATCAAGATTTATTGAACATCAGAAAATATTAAAAGGATTTCAAAACTTATTTCCAAAAACGACAGAAATGTCAACACTTGAAAAAGATGAATTTATTAGTTTGATAGATTTTTATAATGATGATTTGGCAGATAACAATAAAGATATTTTGATATCTGAGTTAAAACTTTGGCAACGTAAAATACTTGCATTAGATAAACAACCTACAAATGCTATGGATGCTTTAACTATCTGCAATGACATGTATCCAAATATATACAAATTACTACAAATATTAGCAACACTACCTGTTTCAACAGCTTCATCCGAAAGGTCTTTTTCGTCATTGAAGAGAATTAAAACGTACCTAAGGAATACAATGTCAGAGGTATTTATATAATATATTATATTATAGGAACTGTATATTTAATTAAACAAAAATATGAATGATATTTTAAATTTTTAGAAAAGATTAAATGGATTGGCAATGCTGTCCATTCATCGTTCAATATCAGTGGATGCAAAGGAAGTGTTGGACGAATTATCTACAAACAAACGACGGGTGGATTTTATTTTATGAATTTCCTATTATAATAAAAATAAAAAAATAAAAATAAAAATGAACTTTAGTTTAACTAATAACTTGTAAATTTGATCATAAAAATATTTTAAACCCCCCCCCCC